AAGAAACATTGAATTATTAAATAAATTATTTACTTTTCTATTTAAATAATTAAATTCTCGTAGAATTTTCTAATAGAAATTGATTTAAAATTGAATTTCAGTTAAAATTTTACATAATAATTGAATATTAAAAGCAATTATAGCATGAATTTTCAAGAATAATTGAATTTTCAAAATTTTTGAAAGTAATTACATTTTTCGAAGAATTTACTTAAAATTATTGTATTAAAAATAATTATGAAATCCTGTGAAGAATTTTATTACTTAGAAAAACAATTGAATTCTTGTAAAGAATTTTTATTAAATTTTTTTTTTAATAATTGAAGTCCTGTGAAGAATAAATTGTATTATTTTTGAAAATAATTGAATTCTTTCGAAAATTTTATTAAAATCATACCTATTGAAAATAATATTAAATTCCTTTATAAAGAATTTTATTATTCATAACAAGAATTGATTTTTTGATCAATTTTTAATAAATTACTTAAAAAATGCAATTATTCTTAAAAATTTTATTAAAACTTGACGAAAGAATTTAAATTTAAGAAAAATTCAATTATTCAATAAAATAATAAAATTCGTTACAATGATTCAATTATTTTCATAAATAACTTTTATTCTTCGCATGAATTCAATTATTTTCATAAAATATTATTTAAATTCTTCTCAGGAATTTAATTATTTAAAAAATTTTCAATAAAATTCTTTAAAAAGTCTTCATTTATTTTCAAAAATTGTTAAAAAATTCTTTAATTTGATAAATTTTAGTGAAATTTTAATTAAATTCCTTAAAAGAAATTAATTATTTTAAAAAGTTGTTAATAAAATTCTTTGTAAAAATTAAATTCTAAGAAACATTCAATTATTAAATAAAATATTTATTTTCGTATTTAAATAATTGAATTCTTGTAGAATTTTCTGATAAAAATTGATTTTAAAATGAATAATTTCAGTCAATATTTGAGATTATAATTAAATATTAAAAGCATAAGGGGGGAATATTTAGAAATAATTGAATTTTGAAAATGTTTCGAATTCAAATCTTTGTAAATCAAAATTTTTCGTACTTTTAACTAACAATTCTGCGTAGAATTAATTTTATTTTATTATTAATTCACTGGGTTATCTTTATATTAATTATTATGAAAACATGAAGAAATCGATTACTCCGAGGAGTGATCGACTTATCTTTATGTTTTATAATAATATTCTTATAATTTATTGTATTTCAAAAGATTTGAATTTGAAAATTTTGAAAATCTTAACTCCTATGGAAAAATAACAATGATTAAATATTTATTGAAAAAAGAAGTTGTTGATGTTTTTGAATAATTTTACAATTAAAGAAATTCGTAAATAAATGTATTTCAGTAAATAAATGTATTCTTATTTATTACTATACTTTTTTTTAACTTTTATTATTATTTGCATAATTATTTAATTTTGCATTATTTTCATTATTTTCATTATTTTCATTATCTTGCACATTTTCCCAAAAATGATAAATTAAAACGATAAAAATGTTCTACATCTGGAATTTGTGAGGCATTCAATGAACGCCCACGAAAATACATTATAATATTGATAGTGACATTGGTGTGTGACAATGTTCACTTGCAGTTTCTAAAATGCACTTACACATTCAGTATATATATGTATATATAAAATAGAAAGGGTAGAAAGTATTGTAGAAGGAGAAGAATACAGTACGTTTACATACATACACGAATGTAAAGACTCATTGTTTGTTTGCTGCACATTGTCCCCGGTTACCTTCTGAAGGTATATTACATTCTTTGTAGTTAGTTATAGTATACAGTCGGTAAGAAGTAGAAAACCATAATGTGTAACACATTCTATTGATTCTACTGTTTTTCAACAAGGTGGGTTCAAAACGCCCAGGTAAAACCTCTCATTCAGTCCGATTTAATATTTATGATTCTCTTTATAAGAGTGTACAATATGTAATAGCGAATAAACACACTATGATGCATAATAAAGGTAAAATTACATATTTATGTACATAAATATACAAAGAATTTTTACAAAATAAAAATAATTCGTAAAATAGATATAATTTGCACCAAAAAAATTTTTTTTTGCTATATGTTTTCTAAATTTGAATTAATAAAAGTTTTTGTATTAATTTTAAGGGCATTTGAACCATTATGTCGTCACAGTTTTGAAACACACGCTGTGCACAAATTGTGACGTCATAATGGTTCAAAAGCCTTTAATAATAATATTTATATTATAAAATTTGTTGATTTTACTATAAACTTTACTAAACATTATTAAATTTTTCTAAATTTTATAGAAGTATAATAATTTTAATGAAAACTAATTTTGTTACACTGAAAAAAACTTACGTCGAAAAATTTCATGGAAGTATACCCCTTGGAAATTCCATGGAAAAGCCAGGGATTTTTATTAAAGTACTGGGAAAAAATTGAATTTATAAGAAGTTATGAATAATTGCAGAAATTCAATTATTTTCAAAAGTAATAAAATTCTTCAAAGAAATTCAATTATGTTCAAAAATTTTTTAAAATGCCAACGTCAAAATTCAATTATCTTTAAAAATAAAAAAATTCTTCTCCATAATTTTAATTATTTTCAAAAATTTTCCTCAATTCAATCATTTTCAATATCTACTATTTTATAATAAAATTTTGCAAAAGATTTTTCAATTATTATTATTATTATTATTATTTCAATTATTTTTAATACAATTTTAATGGAATTTCTCGAAAAATGTAATTATTGAAGATTTTATTAAAATTCGTAGAAAAAATCGAATTATTTAAAAATTTGTTATGATCAAATTTTTTATGAGGATTGAATTTTGAAAAAAATTCATTTATTTAATAAATTATTTATTTTTGTGTTTAAATAATTGAATTCTCGTAGAATTTTCTAATAAAAATTGATTTAAAAATGAATTTCAGTTATAAACTTTTATATAATAATTGAATATTAAAATCAATTATTATAGCATGAATTTTCAAAAATAATTACATTTTTTGAAAAATTTACTTATAAAATTGTATAAAAAATAATTTAAATCCTGTGAAGAATTTTATTATTTAGGAAAATAATTAAATTCTTGTAAAGAATTTTTATTAAATTTTTTTTTAAGAATTTAATTATATTTGTGAAATGTAATTAAATCATTGCAAAAAATTTTTGAAAATAATTAAATTTTTTGAGAAATTTATTTAAAATTGTATTAAAAATAATTGAAATCCTTTGAAGAATTTTTTTATTTATTGTTGAAAATAATTGAATTCATGTAAAAATAATTGAATTCTTGGGAAGGATTTTATTAAAATTTTTGTAAATAGTTTTATTTTTTTTTGGGAAAATTTTATTAAAATTGAAATTATTAGAAAACATAAAGATATCAATTACTCCGAGTCTTCGACTCGCAGTGATCGATATCTTCATGTTTTATAATAATATTCTTTAAATTTGTTAATAAATAAATAATATTAATTTCATATCAAAAACTAAATAGTTAATCTGAAGACTGTAGAAAAATTATAATTGTTTGAATATTTTTTATTAGCTAATTTATATTATTTATTTATTTAACAAAATATGTGGAACTAAAAAATTAAAAATTAATAATAATTATTAATAATTAATTAATTTTTAATTAATTATTATTTATAATTATATAATAATTATATAATAATTATATTATTATTATATATAATTAATAATAATTTTAAATTAATAATAATAATTAATGAATTATTATTATTGTTATTTAAGTTTATAATAATAATAATTATTATTAATTATTAGTAGTTAATAATCAATATTAATAAATTTTTATTTATTTCATGTATAAATAAATAAAGTTTATTAATTTGTGATTAATTAAACAAAAAATTTATTAATATTAATAAAATAATAAGATTTATATTAATTAATTTCCATATTTTATTATTTAGTATAAACAAATTATAGAAAAAAAAAATTATATTTAAAATTATATTTATTATTAATTATGCAAATACTTAATAATAATTATAATAAAAAAATTAGAAGTTAAAAATGTTTTTTTTAGAATATTTTTAATAATTGTTTACATTATTTTTATAATTATATAAATAATCTGGAAAATAATTGCAATGAGAATAGTTGACATACATCAGTTTATAAATATAATTAATAAATAATATTAATTAATAATTAATTTAAATAATTAAAATTAATAAAATAATAATAATTAGTAAAATAATAATTAATAAATATAATTATCAATGGAAGTGATAGACTCGTTTTTCTGAGAAGCAAATACTAAATAAGAGAAGGGGAAACTTGAAACTCCCGCCGTTCATCTGTTCATTATTGGATGCGTTTGTGAACACCGCCCCTCACCTCTTGTAGTGAAGTTTCGAAACATCTGACACGAGCTGCGGTGTCCGAGTGGTTAAGGAGTTGGACTCGAAATCCAATGGGCTTTGCCCGCACAGGTTCGAATCCTGTCCGCAGCGATTTTTTTTTCAAATTATTTTCAATTTTTCCTATTCACTCTTATTAGAAAATAACTACTCGTAATTAAATAATCGTCATTGCTTATTTTCTTATAATTAATTTTTGCAAAAAAAAAAATTATTTTCACTTCTATTATTATAACGTTGAGTTATTAATTTATTATTCATTTTTTTTTTCTACTAATTTCTACTGTATTCTATTAATAATTCATAATTATCAACAATAAAAATTTTTTAAAATTATTTTTTAATTATTTTCTTCTTTTCCTTTTGAACATTTATTAATTTTTTATAGAATTATAATTTTAGTTAATAAAATATAATTTCAAAAATATAAAATCTATTTTACAATTTTTTAATTTTTTACAAATAAAAATTAATTACTACCTACTATTAACATTTTCTATCTGTAAATAAAAGTATTTTTTTTTTTTTTTGCTGAGAATATATTTTTTTTACAAAAGTAAACGATCATGGAAATAAACGAAAATTAAATATGTTTTAAAATCAAAAACAATTTTTTATTTAACAAAAAGTCAGTTGTATGTAAAATTAGTTTTTCTCTTGTTTTTCATATTTCTAATTATAGATGTATTTTAATATTAATAGTGAAGCAGCACAATTCATTTTGTTGAGCGTTGTCCCATAGTTTCCACTTCACCTTAAATTCTTTCTGCAAAAATTTTGAAAAATTTTGTTAATATTTTTCTGAATTTATTAAAAATCAAAATATTGAAGTAATTTTCTTGAAGCAATAATGAATTATTTTCAATTATTTATTAATTTAATTTAATTAATTATAAAATCTAGAAAAAAATAATCATAATTATGTAGCAATTTTCTTGAAACAATATATAGCGAATTGTTTTCAATTTTAATTAGTTACAATTCAATTAATTTGTGGAAAAAAAAATACTTACGGAGGGGAATAATTTATTGATGTGTATTTTTATGTCATAATTTGAATTTTCATTTTTAACAATCGGACATTTAGTATTTTTACAAGCGTCAGTGTTCATTCCAGCCAATGGTAAATCCAAAATCCCCGAGTCCCAGTATGCTTGAGAACTTGCATTTTCAGCGTTAAAGTCTATTAAATTAGAGGAAATTAATTATTTTTTGTCGAAAATTAAAAATAGTTTTTTTTAAACTAATTATAGACAAATTTGGATAATATTTTATTTAATCTGCAAAAATTAAAACTAAACATTTTAATTAACATTAAAAAAAATTTATCTGATTCAAGTAAACGATTATTAGTCAGTTTGTTACTTATTGTAATTTTTTTTTTTTTGATTGATTAATTGTCAATTATCAGATAAATATTTAGAAAATAATTTTTAATTTCAGTCAATTAAATAATATTTGCTTCAAATATTGAAATTATTCATTCAAATAAAATTTATTTGATTTCGATAAAAATCGTTTGATTCAAACATTTATTTGATAAAAGACAAAAAAACCTTTATTTTAAATTTTTAATAAAAAATAATTTTTTTCAGTATTTAAATAGTAAATAATTAATATACTTACTTGCAGTGTAATTAAATGAAATTTGTGCATCTAATCCTTTCTTTAGTCTACATGGTAAATTATTAACTGCTTCTTTGCATGGGTCTACTTGAACATTTTGAATTGTACATAAATCTTGGCTTTCTGTAACAAAAAGAAAATAATAACCATTCGTTATAAATAGCAAATAATAAAATGTTGGTAAATTAGTTAATTACCTATTAATTAAATAAATAATTTATTTTTTGTATTGATCTATTTATTAATCAATTAATTAATTTATTGATTTATTTATTAATATATTGATTGATTTATTAATATATTGATTTATTTATTAATCGATTAATTCATTAATTTATTATTAAAATTATTTGTCATAAATTGCATTTTAGAAATAGTTTCTCACAAATTGCATACTTGTTTCAAAAATTGTTTCTAAAAAATTGAAAATAATAAATAATAACTAAAAAATTGAAGATAATGATTATTTTAAAAACTTAAATACTATAACTACAATTTAGGCTTAAAAATTTATTTAAATAATAAATTGTCCAGTAAAATAATTTTTAAGTGGTTTTGGAGAAAATTATTTTCTTAAATACTTAATAATATAGATGCTCTCCTTTACAACTCACATATACAGTGACGTTTAACTTCCGCGCAGTTCAAATGTCATTTAGTATTAGTGAAATGACTCAAGAGTAATTTTTAAACTTTACCATATTTTTTTGCGTCTATGTAAGCAAAAAGAAAAAAATATTTTTTCCTTATGTAGAAATTTTTAATACACGTGTTTGAAATTTTTTTGCAAAACTGGAGAAATTTGATGAAATCTTCTTTTTAAGAAGCAATACAAAAAAAATACGATGAATAAATTTTTTTTCACTTTAATAAAATAAATAAATAATTAAGTTATGGAATATATATATATTTTTTTTTGAGTATTGAAAGTAGAACTGAACAGAAAATATTTCGACTGTTTAGTGTAAAATATAGGTCATTTTTATTAATAACTATTTTATTATTATTAATACTATTTTTTGATTTTTAATAATTTTAATTTTTAATTTTTAATTTTCAATTAAAGAGAATTTATAATAAATTTAATTTGTTTGAGGATTTTTCAATTTACGTAAGGAATGTAAATTCTCTCTTTGTTATATTATGCCCTTCTTGTTTGCTTAAAACTTTACTAATACTGCATTTATTCAGATGTAATTTTAATGAGGTGATTTACTGATTCTATTGAATGAACGAAATTTCCCTAGAATACACAAAAGTTAATGTAATTACGAACCATAATTTGAAAAATTGAATGGAAAGTTTGTAATGTTTAGAATTGAGTGTACCTCTAAAGTGGTTTGGCAAATTATTTAAATAACGAAAGAGTGTGCATTCATGTAAATAATTGAATAAATTATAAAAAGAATTTATTTAAAAACAGGTTTTAATAATAAAAAGGATTTATTTTAATTAATGTAATAAATAACGAAAAGAATTTCTGTCAATAAATTGTATAAAATAATAAAAAGCATTCTTCTAAATAAATGCATAAATAAAATAAAATAAAAAAAGAGCATTTATTCAATAAATGCCTTCAATATATTATTGATTTAAACATTTATTTGAATAATTGCACAAACAATAAAAAAGAATTTTTTAAACAAATACATCAATATATTTACTTAATATTTATTGTTATTATTATTGTACCATTTATTTAAATATTTGCTTTTTTATTTCTGTTTACTAGAAAATCAAATTATTTTTCTTTCATCCACTTTCTGACCTTTAATTGTAAAAATTCTTTTTAAAAGTTCGCTTGCACTGAATAGAAAATTATTTAAATAAAATAATCCTTTACTTTGACTATTAAATAAATATTTACTTTTAGTGAATAATTTTTACTTAAAAAAACCATTCGAACAAAAAATTTCTGTACTTGGAGCAAATTCTGTTTACAATTTTGAGTGAAATACAAAAAAAAAACAAAATTGTTGAATTCAATGAAAAAATACAATTTTATACAAAAGAAAAATTTTGAGTAAAATACCAGAAAATTTTTTTTAATGAAATATAAAAAAGTATGCAATGAAAAAATGTAATTTTTAATAAACAGGAAAGTATACAATTTTGAGTAAAATAAAAAAAAAATTTTCTAGAATGAAATAAAAAAAGTACAGTTTTGAATTCAAAGATAAAATAATTTTGAATAAAATTTTAAATAAGAAAAATACAATTTTGAGTTCGGTGAAAAAATTATATTTTTGAATTCAGTGGAAAGAAATACAGTTTTGAACAAAATAAATAATAAAAAAAAGTACAATTTTGAATTCAATGAAAAAAATATAATTTTTTGATAAAATAAACAATAAAAAAGTACAATTTTAAATTCAGTGAAAAGAAATCTAATTTTGGATAACATAAATAATAATAAAAAACCACAATTTTGAATAAAAGAAAAATATGCAATTTTGAATTCAATGAAGAAATATAATTTTGAATTCAGTGAAAAAAGTATTGAAAAGTAACAGAATTTTGAATAAATTAACCAAAAAAAAAAAATGTACAATTTTGAATTCAGTGAAAAGAAATACAAATTTTGAATTCAATGAAAAGAATACGATTTTAAATAAAAAGAAAAATATACATTTTTGAATGCAATGGAAAAATTCAATATTAAATGAATAAAAAAATAAAATTTTAGACAAACGAAAAAAACAAGATTTGAAAAATTGAATAATGCAAGAAGCAAAATAAAATAATGGATTTTTTTTCTTAAAAATTCTCTTTCATGCATGTAAATTTTCTTTTTGAGAAATTTTTTTTCTTCGTGTTTTTTTATTCCTAAATATATATTTTTTTTTTATAAAATAAATAGGTACATACCAGGAGTACAGTAATGCCATTGAACTTCTTCGGCAAAAGCTGTGCAAATTAGTAGAAGAACGAAGGCAATAGCACTTTGGTTAATCATTCTTGACAAAGGGTCAGCAACTGAGTGAAAGAAAAACGCTATGACCGTCAGTTGGGTTGAAATGATAATGAAGAGAAGAGGGGCCATAGTTCAATTCAGATAACTAGAGTTAGTTTTAAATAATCTCAACCTAAATTTTGTTACTGTTTTCTTTTCCCAAAAAAAAATAAGATTACGTTGAGAATTCCTTTTAGATGAGAGATTATTCCTGATTCTAAAATCTTATCTTATTGTTTACCTTTTTTGGAATTTTTTCTATTTCTGTTTTTAAAATATTAGAAATACTCTAAATAAAGAAAAAGAGAAAAATAATAATAAAAAATACAATTTTTAAACACTTGAATAAAACTTTATTCTTTTATTTATTTATTTTTTTTTTATTCACAAACGAACAAGGAAATACTTCAATTTTACAAAAGTATTGAAATAAAAAAATAGTTGTATAATACAATTATTTATTTAGAAAATAATTATAAAATATAATTATTTATTTTTCAGCAACTGTTTAAAAATATTTTTTGTATTTATTTATTCTTTTATTTATTTGTTTATTTACTTTTTCGTATTATTTATGAATTTTGTAAAATTTAATTCTGGAAAATCGTGTATGACTAAATACAAAAGAGAATAACGTCAGGAAAAAGATATTTATTTAATCTTTTTTGTTTTTTATTTAAGAATTATTTAAAATTTAATTCTCAGAAATTCTTTACGAATAAGTTTAAAAAAAATGTTTTTTTAATCAAAAATATTTTAACTATTAAACTTAATTTTTTGAAAATTAAAGTTATAACATAATAATATGAATATAACTTAAATTCTAAAGTTAACGAATTTTTAAATATTAAACTTAAAATTTTAAAAATTTATTAAAATTTTTTCAAAATAAAAGTTAATAATTTTTTTAAATTTAAATTTAACAATTATTTTTAGTAAAAATTTAGAGGAACATTTTTTTTTGTATATCAAAGAAAATTTCTCTAAATCAAAGAATACTTCAAAATCGTTAAACGATAAAAAAACGTTTCTTCGATTTCAGGAAATGTTCTTAGAAGAATTTTTAAAAGAATTTTTGATTAAAAATTTGCAAAATTTAGATTTAAAAAAATACGTTTAACCACATTTACGGTATGAAAAGAGATGAGTATAAAATTAATTAAAATAATAGCGTGACTTTAACAATAACTGATGCTTAGTGTCGACTGGAAAAATATAATTCACTCTAATTGCAAAATTGTGAATTTCCTTCATTCGACATCTAAAAGTCTAGTTAGAAAATTTTTAATATTGAAAAATGTCATAATTTTGTAACGAAAAATAAAATAAAATAAATAAAATTCCAAAAAAGATGAAATAAAAAAAAAGATCTTTGGAAATTAGAAGAAAAATTTATATATTTCAGAAGAAAATTATTTTTAATTATTTTTCTTTTCGTTTAACTATAGAGATATACATAACTAAATGAATTAAAAAAATGTCGTTAATATAAATAAAAACATTTTCACTGTTGAAATTAAGTCGATGTCCCAGTTCACTGACTCCCCTTTATATTCAATTGTGTCAAAGCAATTGTGATTACATCACACGGTGTTAAGATAATTGAAGTTACTTTCGCAGATCATTTTTTTTCATTTTATTTACAAAAGTATAATATGCAGATAGTGTGTCAGTGTTTGAAAGAATTTGACATAATTTATGAAATAAGATTAAAGGTTGTAAAAACAAGAGTTCTTTTAATTAACAAACAACAGGCAATGAAAGTTCAATTATGAATTATTGATTGAGATTTTCTTAAGGAAATATAGCAACAAGATTTGTTCAATTTACACTATTTATAAATAATTAAATAAATAAATTCAAAATTCGCTTTATTTTTATGTATTTGTGTGTTTATTTTTTTAAATTAACTTTTTTATACCAAATTAATTAATTAATTTTTTAATAGTAATCGAAACAAGTCAGTAAGTAAATAAAATAAATAAATCGAATAAATCAGTAAGTAAATAAAAAAATAAACAAAAAAACAAATTTATAATTTATTAATTAATTATAATAATATAATAAATAAATAAATTAATTTTTCAATAGTAATCGAAACAAGTCCATAAATAAATCAGTAAGTAAATAAAAAAAAAAACAAAAAAGCAAATTTATAATTTATTAATTAATTTATTTATTGAGACAAATTTTTAATAAAATAACTAGAAGAGTAAATTTTTCTTATAGACCATTTTATTTTCTTTTTTTTTAAATAAATATTACAAACAAACTCCAAAAAAAGATATACATGAGAAGAAACATCGCATTAAGTACCTATACATATAAACTGCAAATACTGATTATAATTAGCATTTTTGCTAACAAATATAACACTCTTAAGTACACTATAAACTTACTAGAAAAAAATACTAATTATAATTGGTATTTTTTGCCTTAAATTTTATTTTTATCATTTTTCGTATTTTATCAACTATGTATTTTAATATTATTATTTTGTTTTTTTTTAGAATTAAAGAGAGAGAAAAAAATCCCACGAAATTTTTACGTATATTAACAAAGTAGGATTTTGATAACTTACATTTTATCATGAGTATTTTAAAGGTACTTTTTCTTAATAACTCTTTAAATATAAATGTAAATAACGTAACAATATAAAATTATTAGAAAAAAATTATTTCATATCGCGATTCATGATTTTTTTCTTCACTGTACAAGAAATACATAGAAAATACTTTTTTTTCGTCAAAAAAAAAAAGAAATAACTTGTCAAGAAATTATTTGGTTCGAGTCAATTTTTTTTTCGTTCAAAATTATTAGAATTATCATTATTATTCAAAATTTTTATTTTAAATAATAATTTTCAATTATTTCTCAAAAATTAAGTACAATTTTTTTTTTTTGAGAATTGAAAAGAAAAATTATATTTTTCCACAATTCGAATATTAATATTAACAACAAAATACATCGCTCTTTGGCAAAGGCGCTCTTGAATTTCATTTATTCTTTACGTAAAAATTAATCCTTGGCTTCTATTTTTATAATTATGAAAGTTTTATTATTCCATTTCTAATAGAAGATATCTGCAATTAATTAATTATAAATTCGATTATAATTTCAAAAATAAAAAAATTTATAAGTATGACAAAACGAAAATCTATTTTTTGTTTCTCGAAATGAAAAAGGAAAAATTTAAATTAGGATTTTTGTTTAATTATCGAAATTAAGATTTTAATTTAATTATTTAATTTGGAAGTTTAATTAAATTTTTTTATTTCTATTTGGTTCAAATAAATTTTATTTGGTTCAAATAAGTTTTATTTGGTTCAAATATATTTTATTTGGTTCAAATAAACTTTATTTTATTCAACAAATAAATTTTATTCGGTTCAAAAATACTTTAATTTGTTTCAAATGAAAAAATATTTGTTTCTAATCAATTTTATTTGGCTCAAAGAAAAATTCTGTGTCGAATAAAATTTTTATTGAATGAAATCAAATAAATTATTAAGTAGGCTCTGAGAAAAATATATACTTTTACTTAAATAAAAAAAATTGGTTTAAATAACATTTTTCTCTGCTTGCAGATAAATTAAATTTTGCTATTAATATTCGAGAGAAGGGGAATTTATAATTAATTAATTGGAAAAATATTATTTTCGAAAGAAAATGAACAAGAGTTTTGATAAACTGAGCGAATAAAAATAACTAACTATTTGTGATATTTAACATTTTTAAATAGCACTTAGTTTAGTATAAAGTCGATAAAGTCTTTTTTTTCTTCATCCTCTTCTTTTGATTAAGTTTTACCGGCAAATTCACTTTTCTTTCGTACTCCAGAGAAGAGTTGGAACGTGAAAGACAGTTTTTGAATATAAAAAAGAAGTTTTATTTTCACTGTTCACTCTCTGGACATTTCTGTATATAAAAGTTCCTTTTTTGCCATTTTTTTTCTCCTTGTCTCCTTGTCTCTTTTTCTCCTTTTTTTCCTTTTTCTTCTTTTTTTTGTTTTTATTCTCCTTTCTTCTCTTTTTATTCTCCTCTTTTTGTCCTCTTTCTTTTTTTGGTACACGGTTACACCACGTACACTGGATCTTTCAGTACGGATATTCTCGCTTCTTGCAAAATTCTCAGTCTTGGTCCCAATGGGACACCCATCTTTTGCAGCCTTTCTTCGCTCAAGTAAGGTAATTCAACCATTCCTACTCTTTCTTTCTCGAAGGCGCCGGCGTATTTCTGTGAAAATCACATTTTTTATTAGATTTAAGAAAAATTCAATTTAAATAAAAAGAAAAAAAATTTAGATTATATGTTAGAGAGAGAATGAGAGAGATTACTTTTTTTTGAAAAAATTTGCGAGGATTTACGTTTAACAATATTTTTCCTTAGTTTTTTGTGACATATGCGTTTTTCAAATGGAGGAAAAATAAAAAAATAATCAATTTAAATTTTCAAATTGAATTTAAATTTTAAAAAATATTTTTTCTACTTTTTCAGCAAACATTTTTTCTCTAATTTAATTACCAAATTGTCGATTAATTCGTGTGAATAATATCAAAGGTGCAACATGTGTAAAAACTACTGCCATGAAGAATATAATTATTAATTATATTTTAATAATAATAATTTTGTATTATTTATTGTTATTATTATTTTTTATTATATTATCATTACTTATTATTACTATTATTATTAATATTACTGTTATTACTACTACTATTATTATTATTATTATTTTTTTTTTCAGTCGGAAGTGAAAAATCTGTAAATTCAGGTTATTATTATTATTATTAATATTTATTTATTTTTTTGCATTTTTTATTTTACAATAATTGCATTTTATTTACTTCTATTTACTCCTTTTGTTTCCTCATTTATTTCTCTTTTCTTTACCATACTTTGCAATTTTATACATTCTTTTTCATTATTATTTCATTAAATTTTCACATTATTTTTCATTCTTTTTTTTACTTATCTTTTTATTACTTTTACTTCCTTTTATCACTGCATATCATTAGCTTCATTATAATCTATATTTAATTATCTTTCATTTTTTTATCGTCCATAAACTATTTTTTTTTTTTTTTTTTAATTAAACAAATACAAAATTAACTTTTTTCTATTAATTATTTATTGATATTTTGTTCCCTTTTTCTGTAGTCCTGTAACTTTCTTTAAATTCTTAATCAAAATTTTCATTACAACGCTAGTTTTATTTTAAAATTCCATTAATTTTAGTACATTTGAAGTAAATTTCAGAGAAAAAATTAGAAAAATTAATTTAGTACTTGGAAAAATTTCCTTCCAAAATAGTAAACTTTAATATTAAAAATTGCTATTTTCAGAATAAACTACTTTTATTATTTTCAATTGACAATTTTTTTTATGAAAATTAGAAAAATTTACTCTGAAAATAAGAATTTTTAATCTGCTAATTGTAATGTTCGAGGAAAATTTGAATAATTTTTCTTGTAAGAATCATTATTTCCAGTGTAAATTCCCTAATATTCGTATAGTAAATTTTATTGATAATAATTAGTAAAATGTACTGTAAATTTAGTAGAATTTATTCTGTGAATAATACAATTTGTCCAAAATTCCAAACAATTTGAATTTAAACTATTCAAACTCTATTATTTAAAAAAAAAATCTGCATTTTTTTTATAGAAATAATATAAAAAGATTTTTAAGTTTCAAATTACTATATTTTTTCCAAAACCAATTATTATTTTCAAAAAAATTTCACAAAAGAATTAAATTTTTTTCTTAAATCGTTATAAAATTTTTCAAAAAAATTGAATTATTTTCAAAAAAAAATTTCACGAATGAATTCAATCTTTTTTGTTAATTCGTTCAATAATTTTTAAGAAAGACGATTATTTTAAAAACTTGAAAGAAATTGTTCATAAAATTCAATTATTTTCAAAATTTTTAATTAAAATTATTAAAGAAAGTCTATTATTAAAAAAAAAAAAATTCAAAGAAATTCTTCAAAAATAATTTCATTAGAATTTTTAAAAATTTTAACAAAATTCTTCAGAGAATTCAACTATTTTCCTAAATAATTAAATTCTTGGAAGTAATTCTATTATTATCGAATTTTTTGATAAAATGCCTTTGCAACAATTAAAAGATTTTCTAAACATTAATTTTAAAATTGAAAATATTTAAAAAGAAAAATTATTAAATAGTTAAGAAACAAAAAAAGCAAACAACAACTTTCGTCAAAAATATTAGTTTTAAAATATTAATTTTCTCTTTGTTTTTCGTTTGTGTTTTTGAATAACAATTTTTTCATATGTATAACTATATTAAAGATAATAATTAATATTCTGAGGACACTATTTTTATGAAAAAAAAGAGAATGAAAATGAATGAAAATCTTTTTCCGAAGAAATCTTCATGGCAGCAGTTTTTTTCTCAGTGCGAAATACCCTACCTCATACCCTAGTTCCCGGAGAAAAAGCCTGATGAGTGGCGGTTCTGTTCCAAAAAACTTGGTGAGCTTTTTCACCCTTGAAGGATTCGAGAGAGCCGGCAATTCAGAATCCTTGATCAGAGGCTGAGACTGCGATCTCACCATTGCCATGCTCGTTTGAGTTCTTAACGCCGCAATTTCACCCCTAATGTTCTCCATTTCCTGCGATGAAAAAAAAGACAAATGAAATTTATTGTCATTGATGCAGAGAAACCGATAATAAAAATTAATTATTGCTAGTGATCCAATTTATTTATTACTTTTTTTTACATTCTCAACAAAAATGAGAAGGGATTCTTATATCTTCCTGATCAAGAGAAAATAAATTGTATTTTTCTTGACCTATTTCATTTTTTTTTTTTCATAAATTAAGTTTTATTTCATTTAAATGATAATTTTATCTGCACCAAGAATTAATTGGTTTTGGGCAAAAAAAAGAGAGAGAATTTGATACAAATAAATTGGTTACAAGAGAAATATAATTTTATTCAACTCTGATTTTATTTGATTCAATTAAAATATTTCTCTGAGTGCAATGTACAAGCATTAGTTAAATTTTTAATTAATTAAATTAATTAATTTAATTATTTTTCAATAAATTTAAATAATTTATTTAAATAACTGTTTTAACTAATTTTTAAATTCAATTCAAATAATTACTTTAATTCCTTTTAAAACTACTTCGCCCAATTAAGTTCTGATTAGATAATTTTTTTAAATTCTTTATATTTAAATTTAAATAAAAAGTAATTAGAAATTGTAATTAATCCAATTAAAATAATTAAGTTAATGAAAAGTTTAATTTAATCAGGGTTACCGCAGGTCAGCGAAATCAGGGAAAAGTCAGGGATTTTTATTAAAAGTACAGTAAAAAATTAAATTTGTAGAATTCATAAGAAAACTCTGAATTTTTTTGTGTCTTTTTTTTGTTTATCTCATAAGCTATGAAACTACCACGAATTCTAATACAAAACCTTCAAAATTTTTTTCTTATTATTTTTAGGAATTTTAAAAAAATTCTTTACAAAATTCGATTATTTTCATAAATAACAATATTTATCACAAGAATTCAATTATTTTCAAAAGTAATAAAATTCTTCCAAGAAATTCAATTATTTTAAAAAATTTGACCGAATATCTCGTCAAGAATTCAATTATCTTTATAAATAGCAACTTTTTTCGCCAAGAATTCAATTATTTTCAACAATTTAAATAAAATTCTTTGCGAAATTTAAATTATTTTCAAAAGTTTTCGCAATTCAATGATTTTTAATATTTCCTATATTTTCATAAAATGTATCAAATAATTTAATTAGAATTAAAAAATTTTTTTGATACAATAATTTATCAATTATTTTTATAAATGAAAAAATTTCATTTTAAGAATTCAATTATTTTCATCGAAAAATTTCCAATATTTTTAATACAATTTTAACTAAATTTAAGATTTAAATAAATTCAAATTTAGGAAACATTCCATTATTCAATAAGATAATAAAATTCGTTGCAATAATTCAATTATTTTCATAAATAACTTTTCATTCGTCACAGGAAATTAATTATTTTCAAAAATTTTTAAGTAATTCTGCTAAAGAATTCAATTATCTTGATAAACAACAAAGTTTTCCACACAAAATCAATCATTTTAAGGAATTTTAATAAAATTCTTTTCAAAAATTCAATTATTTCGATAAATATTAAAATTCATTGGAAGAATTTAATTCTTTTGAAAACTAATGAAATACTTTCCGAAAATTAAATTATTTTCAAAATTCTTTAAAAATTTCCGTTAAGAACTAAAATACCTTTTTTATAAACAGATAGCGAAAATCTTCTCAAGAATTAAATTATTGTCAGAAATTTTAATAATATTATTGTCAAAATTTCAATTATTTAAACGAAATTTAATAAAAATTCTTCACACGAATTCAATTATTTTCGAAAATTATTATTTAAATTCTTCTAAGAAATATGATAAATTTCAGTAAAATTTTAATTAAATTCCTTAAAAACAATTAATTATTTTCAAAAGTTGTTAATAAAATTCTTTGTGAAAATTAAATTCTAAGAAACATTCAAGTATTTAAACATGAATAATTTCAGTTAAAATTTTAGATAATTAAATATTAAAAGCATTAGGGGGGAATATTTAGAAATAATTGAATTTTGTAAAGATTTCGAATTCAAATCTTTGAAAATCAGAATTTTTCGTACATTTAACTAACAATTCTGCGTAGAATTAATTTTATTAATAATTCACTGGTTTATCTTTAATTATTATAAAAATTATTTCAAAAGATTTGAATTTGAAATTTTTGAAAATCTTAACTGTTATGTAAAAATAACAATGATTAAATATTTATTTAAAAAAGAAGTTGTTGATGTTTTCGAATAATTTTACAATTAAAGAAATTCGTAATTAAATATATTAGAACATTTTTCTCAGCATCTAATCATTTTTAGAGTGAATTAGAATATTCTTTTCTGGTCAGGGAAAAAGTTAAAATTTCGTCCGGAACTCAGGGAAAAACGAAATTAGATTTTTTTGGCAACCCTGTTAATGAATTAAAATTAAATAAATTATATTAAATTTAAATTCATTAAATATGAAATTAAAAATTTATTTATTTTATTTTGGACGAACAAAAATATCTTTAACAAAAAAATGAAAACTTTGTAAATTTTGTATCCTTAAGTTTAAATTTTTCAAATTGAGTATTTTTTAAATAAAAAGGTATTTAAAGTTAGAATTATTTGATACAAGTAAATATTTATTTTGTAATAGATTATTAATAATAAATAATAAAATAATCTATTATTTGAATCAAATAAATTTTTTTTCAATGTAAAATTACAAATAAGAATTCTGTAAAATTTGTACTTCTTAAATTAAAATTTTTTAAATTGAAAATTCTTAAAATTTAAATTCTCCCTCAAGTATAAAATGTATTAATTTTTCACCTGCATCATTAAATGCTGTGTTCTCATCTCAGAACTGAGATGTGCTACAGATCTTGCCAGAGTTACCACGTGAGATTCCAGCCGTTGAAAGCGTTTATTGATACTCTGAAAAATGAAGAAACGTTAATAAAATATAAAATATTATTATTTATTAATAATATTTAAAATAAATTCAAATTAAATTAAATAAAAATAAAATGAAATACAATAAATATGAAGAGAATACTAATATTATTATTTTAACTTTCTATCATCACAATTACAAAAAGTAATGAAATTTAAATTTTACTCTCACAAAATTAAATTAGAACTCTATTTAACTCTTTAAAATTAAGACACTAAAATAAAGCTGGTGCAAATTTTATAAATTTATTTTATTTATTGAAAGTTAAATAAAAAAAAAATTATTTACATCTGTAAATATTTTTTTTTTTAATTTTTCCTTAATTTTGTTTACATACTTTATTTTAAATTTAAGAATTTAAAAAAAAATTAGACGTACTTTGATATCTTTAACTTTTTTCATTCTGTCATCCATAGCGTGTGATCTTCGCTTATCGTGATGCCTTGTCACTGGCCTGGAAGAAACTGATGAAGTTGGAAGAGAAGAAACTGAACCGTAACTGGTGAGTCCTCTTGATTTTCTCTTTTTCTTCACACTTCCGCCAAGTAATTTTAAAACCTTTGCCGAAAAGGAAAATTCAATTACATTCATAATGAACTTGATAAGCGTTTTTATAGACAAGTGATAAAAGAAAATCTTTCAAATAATTTTTATAATTAGAAGAAAAAAATCGCATAGGAATCTTTAAAAATTGAAGGAAAAAATTTTCAATTGAAAATACATAATTCAATTTTACAAAAAATTTTTAATTGAAAACAAATTTTTAATTATAATTTTTAATTTAAACAACATTTTTAATTATAATCAAATTTTTAAGAAACAAATTATTCATTAACAATTAATTAGAACTTAATGTTTTAGATGCTTTTTTATAAGTAAATAATTGAGAAAAATAATTTAAATAATTTTTAATCTAAGGAAAAAATTATTTTTCAATTAAAAAAATATTTTCTGCTTTAAATTCGAGATTTGTTTACACAAAAATAATGAGAAACTCACTTCGCTATACATATTTTCGAGACCCTCCAACTGTTTTCTTATTGTCCTTGCATCATTTGTACTCAGATCAGAATCACTTCTGTCTAGCATCGAATCTAAATCGAGTCCTGTTGTCGTCGATGTTAAATCCGCCGCTTCCACTCCGAATACTAAGTGAAGATTATTTTTTTAGTTTTTCCGATCATATAATAAAGCTTTCTAGAAAGTTTTCTTTATGGGAAAACATTTTTTTTTCTCCTCTTGTATCAAATAAAAATCTTTCTTACAGGACTCATATTTTTAATAAAACAAAAGTAAAGAAAAAAAAGAGGAGAAAGAAAATATGTTTAAGCTCTAAATTGAAGAAAAATTTTCTTTAAATTGAAGAAACATTTTTGTGCCAGTATAAATATACATATAAATATGCGAGCTAAAATGGTTCAGAATTTAAAGGAAATCTTTTTTTTTGGGTTCTTTCAAAGAAGAAACCTTTGAAAAGTGAAAATTCGACTTTAATATTGGCTAGATATATTCGCATTAACAATTCAGTATTTGATCTTACAATGAGAGAACTTTTTCGTTGAATCTTTCTTTGATGTTGAAGCACCGCGATGCTTAGAGGAGCTTGGGTAGTTTCTTTTGTCACATCCTTTACTATATTCACTGTAGTTTGGCTTTGATCCGTAAGGTAAGCTGGAAAATATATGTTTCTTTTGAATAAACAAAAAAAATTAGCGAAATACGACGAATAAATAAAGTAAATAACAAAAAAAAACACAATTATTTTTAATAATTTTCGAAAAAATTCTTTGGCAATTTTCAAATCTGTTTACAATATTCAATTTTACGAAATTTCAATTATTACTAAATTCTTTAATTGAGTGCATATTAGAAAATAAAAATTTCAAATAATATTTAAAAAAATCCAATTAAATTTTTTCAAAAAAATTAAATTCAAAACTCAATTATCCCAAAAAAATTCTTGCTGTACTGCTTTTATTATTTAGTTATTATCTAAAATTTTAACTGAAATTCATTTTTAAATCAATTTTTATTAGAAAATTCTACGAGAATTCCATTATTTAAATACAAAAGTAAATAATTAATTGAATATTTCTTAAAATTTAACTCTCATAAAGAATTTTATCAACAAATTTTTAAATAATTGAATTCTTTCGACGAATTTTAATATAATTTTTAAAAATAATTGAATTCTTTTAAGAAATTCGATAAAATTTGTATTAAAAATAATTGAAATTCTACGATGAGTTTTATTATTAGTAAAAATAATTGAATCCATAAGAAGAATTTTATTTCTCTTGAAAATAATTAAATTTCTGCAATAATTTGTAACTTCTCCAAAATTCAATTTTTTTCTAGTGTTTTTATTTTTTAACTAAAATTCTTCTATAAATCCATTATTTTTAATAATTTTTGAAAAAGATCTTTGAGAATTTTCAAATTCATTTGTCTACAATTAAATTTTACAAAATTTCAATTATTCGGAAATTCTTTAATTAAATATATATTAGAAAATAAAAACTTTAAATAATTTCCGAAAAAAATAAATTAATATTTAGTTATAATCTAAAATTTTAAATGAAATTCATTTTTAAAACAATTTTTATTAGTAAATTCTATGAGAATTCAATTATTTAAATACAAAAATGAATAATTTATTTATTTAATGTTTCTTAAAATTAAATTCTCATAAAAATTTTATGAACAAAGTTTTAAACAATTGAACTCTTGTGACGAATTTTTTCGAGGAATTCAATTAAAATTTTGTTAAAAATAATTGAAATTCTAAAATGAGTTTTATTATTTATGAAAATAATTAAATTCCTAAAAAGAATTTTATTATTTACGAAAATAATTGAATACAAATTTTATCATTTACGAAAATAATTGAATTATTGCGAAAAATTTTATTAAAATGTTTAAAAAGAATTTAATTTCTGTGAAAAATTTTTTGTTATTTTGGAAAATAATTGAATTTTTCATAAGAATTTTATAAACATTGTTTTAAATAATTAATTTTTTCGAAATATAATAAATATTATGAAAATTTTATTTTAAGTAATTGAAGTCTTGTAAAAAACTTTATTTGGGAAAATAATTGAATTTTTCGATTAATTAATTTAAAATAATATTAAAAATAATTGAATGTTTGCGTAGAAATTTATTAAATTTTTTTTAATAATGGGATTCTTTTGGAAAATATTATTAAAATAGTAGATATTAAAAATCATTGAATTGAAGCAAGTTTTTGAAAATAATTGAAATTTTTGCCAAGAATTTTATTAAATTTTTTGAAAATAATTGAATTTTGAAGAAGAATTTTATTATTTATAAAAATAATCGAAATTTTGATAAGAATTTTAAAAAATTTTTTAATTTCTGCGAAGAATTGTTACTTTTGAAAATAATTGAATTCCTACAATCATTTGTAATTTCTCTAAAATTCTTTAAATTATATAGAACAATTTACGAACTTTTTGTCCTTTCTTAATCAAATTACAGACTTTATGGACCTTTTTTTTTAAAAAACAGACTTTTACGGGCTTGAATCAAATTTACGGACCTAGTTCGAGCCCTTATAATATCAGGGTTTATTTAATTATTTTATGGACAATTTGTCCATAAAATAATTAAATAAACCCAGATATTATAATCAACTACAAGAAAAAAAGTAATAAAACAAGTATATTTTTCACTCCTTTTAGAAATAAAATCATAGAGTAATTTTTTTTTACTTCGATGAACATTGTTTATGTAGAATTTATGACTAAGAAAAAAAAATAATATCCTGAAAATAGGATGATGAATATTCATTAAGAACTTGGTTCGCAAACACTTATTGCAAGGCAAATGTATTATGTGAAATATAAAAATATCATTTACCTCGCTGAATATCTATTTCGTGGAGTTCTAGGACTTCCATGGGGCGATAAAGGAGGCAAGGGAGGTGTCACTGACGACACACTTTCAGATAAAGTGGAGTGCGCCATTGCCGGAACATCTCTTGGCTCCAAAATGCTTCTCAATTCTGATTCCACTATATCCACCCACTCAGAGTCCTGACCTAGAAACGTGGAAATAAAATGAAAATTAAGTTTTCAAAAAGTCGCTCACGTTATGAAATTTTATCGATTGGAACATCAAAAACCAGAAAAAAGAAATATTCACTGGAATAAAAGTATTTAGGTTGTTATAAAAATAAGATTTTTTACTTTTTAGGAGATATAGCTTTTAGGTTGGATAAAGTTTTTTATATCGCAATTTTCGATTTTCTTTTGCCAGCGAAATAACGCTGGCAAGTGTTGTAGCAATTTTTAGTGTTGTGGCATGGCGTTTGTTTTGAATTAGGATTTTTAGTCTAGTGATGGTTATTGTGTGGGAATTGTTACTATAGTAGTGGTTGTTAAGGAATCGGTCAGTATAGCAACGATCACTATAAGAACCGTTACTTTAGCAACCGTTGCTGTAGTAACTGTTACCATAGCAATAGTTGCTAAGGACAGCATAGAAATCGTTACCATACCTATGGTTGCTACGGTTTAGGTTAACGTAGCCAGGGAGTAGTTACCATGGCTAGTCACCCAAACAATTATTACCAGAGTTTTGGTTACAATAGCAGTCATTACAATCGATTGATATATGTATAAGAACAGAGATGCGAGATCTGTAAATTAATTTTTTGTGATTTAATAACCTAACAGAAAGGTTAAGTAAAAAATAATGGTAGAAATTTTGGTTTGGGAAATAATTTTCTACGATTTTGGTTTTGTTTTAAAGGCAGAGGAAGTATTTACCTTGAGCGTGTCCTTGATTTTCAGGAGGCGGTCGTCGTCCACTCGAATAAACAGCGGATCCCCTTCCAGAATCCACATTCGACGAACTCTGTCCAGCTTTATCGTAATCCGAACCCGAACCTTGACCCTGAATTTTCATTCTCGCTAGTCCCTGCTCAATATCATCCTTACTCTTCGTATCGTTCTTGAAATAATTCTCCTTATTGTTGGTAATCTGCGAATTTTCGAGTCTCTTCGACATCTCTAATTTTTGTCCTGAATTATTACGGATCTCTTCATTTTCACTGCTCACATCTTTCGATGGTTTCGCAGTATAAATACCATCTTGCTCGTTTTTCTTTTGAAGTTCCTCTATTCGCTTTTGCACCGACAATGTTTGATTTGTATTTTGAGATGGGTCTTTTTGATTATTCTGATGATCGTGTTCGCCTCTCTTCGATGTTCGTCCCTCCTCGCGACGAATTCCAAAACTTGTCTCCGGACGGTATTCGTCTTTTCTTTGCGATCCACTTCTACCGAAATCCATTTGATGTTCCTCGACGGTGATTTCGTATTTCTCCTTGTCCAGGGGATCGACAGAGACACTTGATTTCATTGCATCGGCTGTGGAATTATTGCGTTGGGGGAAATTCTCATTATTACCGAGTCGCTCCTCCTCGAATGAAAGATGGGGTTGAGAGGCGGCTTTCTCAATTCCTTTCATCGAGTTTTGCCTTTGGTATTCGATCTCCTGACTTGGCGTTTCGGGTTTCATGTAGACTTGAGGCACTCCGTACCTGGAAAATAGAAGATTTAACTTTGGGAAACAAAAGTTAAGGGGGTATATAGAGTCATAAAGGCGGGACTAAACATTGTTTTTACACTATCTCAGAAAACGATTGATTAGAAATGCTACCTGGGTCTGCCTTGAGCGTAATGATAGTAGATTTCCTGTCCGGAAACTCGAAGATCCTGATTTTGTCTCGAAGTGCTGGGCAAATCAATCTGCGATCTGGAGATTGGTTGTCTAGTCTGCTGGAACTGTTGATAAGGAACATTTCCCGAAAAGTGACTGTTTGTTGTTCGTAGGGGATGAGAATTTGTTTGCTGTCCGGCGAGTTGTTGCTGCTGATGCATCTGCTGAATCAATTGACGCTGATGCATATTTTGAGCGTGCTGTTGAGAGAATCGTGGACTTTGGTGATGCTGGCTCTGATGCAACAATTGCTGAGGACTTTGGTAACTTTGATGCGACGACTGATGCACGTTTGTTGCTTGCTGTAGCAACAGACCGACTTTCATCACTGGTATGCCATGATTCTGAGTTTCACAATTTAGAGAAAGATGAAGATTTAGAATCGAGTACAGAATAAAAAAGGAATTTTCTACAGAGGAGTTATTCTGATTACAATTTACGAATTACGATTCTTTGCGGAAAAAATGAAATGGAGACAAAATAGTAATGTAGCAAGAAAGCAGAAAGTCAAAACAAGAATCAAAATTCGAAAAGGATTCAAGTTTTTGCAGAAATTACTGATGAAAATGAAAGATTTAAGTTTAGAGAGATATTGGAAATGTGAGGGAAGAATGTAATTAGCGTTGATTTCTTACCTGATTCATAGCTCCGGGTCCTTGCACCACGTATTCCCTGTTTACATTCTGAACCGGTTGTCCAGCACTTGTGGATTGAACGAAACCAGATATTTGTGTCTGATGGGCCATTTGAACTCCTCCCGGTGGTGTGTGATGAGTCACGTGAAGTTGTGCACTTTGTCCCGGCAAACTCGGTTGAATTTGCGACGGAGACTGAAGTTGTCCTGGAAGTGGGACAGTTTGCTGTCCACCTTGATAGCCATACGAGTGTCCATATTGTCCTGCAAGCATTGCAGAAGGCAATCATTAAAATTCATTGGCTAAACTTGGTAGAAGATAAGAAATAAGAAGCAATAAAAATAAAAAGGGAGAAGGAGAAAATAGTGAAGTCGTGGAAGAGGAAACTGAAGATGCAGAAGAAGATAAAAAAAGTTGTGGAGAAAGAAAGTAAGGATGCAGAGAAAAATAAAGAAGATGTAGAAAAGGATAAAGATGCAGAAGAAGATAAAAAAAGTTGTGGAAGAAGAAAGTAAGGATGTAGAGAAAAATAAAGATGCAGTAGTAAATAAAGAAGTTTAGGAACAGGAAAGTAATGATGCAGCATAAAATAAAAAAGTTTTGGAGGAAAATAAAGGACATGCAGAAGAAAATCTAGAACAAACAAAATAGTTGTAAAAGAAAATAAAGAAGATTTAGAAGCAGAAACCAAAGAGAGTACCATAGGAATTTTTCGGATACTGTTGCATATTGAGAGAGGATTCTTGCGCTCTTGGTTTCCCGTAAACACCACCACCTTCCTTCTTCTTGACCTCGTCCTCTTCAATATCACGACTCGATTTTCTCAATTCCTCCGTAACATTATTTAAACTCGCTTCAGGTTCTGTATCAGCATCCTTTCGATTTGGACCAAATCGACTCGAAATCATATCCTTGATGGTGTGATATGTTTTCGATAGGGTCTTGGTCTTTTCCTCATCGACTTTGGTCGTTCGAGGAACAGCACCTGTCGCCGTCGACCTGAAGCAGTATATACATATATATGTACATATATATATATAGAAATTTATGCAAATTACTTGTAAAGATATTCCCCACTATATTCTATATATGTAAAAAAAAGGAATCAAAAGAAACAAATCTTGAGTATTTTAATGATATTTGAGATTAAAATCTATTTGTATAATGAGGAGAGGAAGTTGTCCCAACCAGTATATAATATACGATTCGATAATATAGATATCTCTCAACGACTAATTTACAAACTTTGAATTATTAAATTTAACATAAAATATTATGTGAAGCAGGTATAAATAGCTATATTCGTAATATTATTTGTCGTATTATTGCAATTTGTTGTGAATTATTAACTTCTTGGTTCGTTGATTAGAGTAGTTGTTATTTGTTTTTTTACTTGCTGTATGTGCTAATTAGATGATTTTTATTCTTGTATATTTGTCAGTTAGTAAATGCGAAAAAAAGAAAGAAATCGAAGAAAGTAATAAAAAATATTCCACAAAATTTATTTGAATAGTATTTTAGAAATTAAAATACTTATTCAAAAAAATATTGTAGAATATTTTTTATTACTTTTATTATTCTAACAGAAAGAGGGTTGCCACGCTTTTACTCATTTGTAATTCCCTGACTTTTCCAGATTTTTTAAAACTATAATTTTTAATAAATAAAATAATAAATTTTTATAAATACCTTTGATATATAAAATTGTAAAATTATTTGAAAACATCAATATCTTCTTATTTAAATAAAAATATAATTATTAGTATTTATCCAAACGGAATTAAAATTATTTTCAAAATATTTCAATTCAAACCTTTATGAAACATCAAGAAATCGAGTGATCGACTTCTTCATGTTTTTTAATAATTAAAGATGACAGAATCATTATTTTATATTATAAGAAGCAGTAACTTCTTTAAAATTATTTTCATCATTTCAATTCAATTATTTTCTAGAATTTCCAACTAAAATTCTTCTTTAAATCAATTTATTATTTTTAATAATTTTTGAAAAAGTTCTTTGAGAATTTTTAAAATCATTTCTTTACAATTAAATTTTTACGAAATTCTCGATTATTAGGAAATTCTTCAATGAAATTATATTAGAAAATAAAAACTTTAAATACTTTCAAAAAATTCAATTAAATTGTTTTAAAAAAAAATTAATTCTATAAAATTAATAATTAGAATTATGCAACCTTTTCAAAATTCAATTATTAATTTCTACAAATCCATGCTATAATGCTTTTAACTCGGCTTTTAATATTAAATTATTATCTAAAATTTTAACTGAAATTCATTTTTAAATAAATTTTTATTCGAAAATTCTACAAGAATTCAATTATTTAAATACGAAAATAAATAATTTATTGAATAATTGAATGTTTCTCAAAAAATTGAATTTTAATAAAGAATTTTATTAAAAAAATTTTTAAATATTAAAATCTTTTGACGAATTTTAATACAATTTTTAAGAATAATTTCATTTTTCTAGAAATTCGATTAAAATTTTATTAAAAATAATTGAATTTTGTAAAAAATTCGATTTTTCTTAAATTCTTTGCAAGCAAAGAAATTTATAAAAAAATTAGTAAAGAATTGAATTTCTGTGAAATTTTCATTATTTATGACATTTTATTTTATGAACTAAAATTCTTCTATAAATCCACTATTTTTAATAACTAGTTAAATATATATATTAAAAAATTTAACAAATTTCAAAAGAATTTAAATTAAAATTCTTAAAAAAAATTAATTCTATAAAATTAACAATTAAAATTGAGAAAAATTAAAATTTTCAAAGATTTTAATTTGAAACTTCTACAAAATTCTATTATTTCTAAAAATTCACGTTACAATGCAATGCTTTTAATATTCGATTATTATTATAATCTAAAAATTTATTTATATATTTATTTATTGTATATAAACGGTGTTTATAATTTAAATTATAAACTAATTTTTATTAGAAAATCCTACTACAATTCAATTATTAAAGTACAAACATAAATAATTTATTAAATAATTGAATCTTTCTCAAAAGTGAATTGTAATAAAGAATTTTATTAAAAAAAGTTTTAAACAATTTCATTCTTTTGACGAATTTTAATCAAATTTTTAGGAATAATTACATTTTTCGACGAATTCGATTAAAATTGTATAAAAAATAATTAAATCCCTGTAAAAAAATTTGAATATGTATAAAAATTTAATTATTGCGAAGAAATTTATAAAAAATTTAAATAATTGAATTCCTGTTAAATATTTATTATTTATGAGAATAATTAAATTTTTGGATAAAATTTTATTAAATTTTTCTTTTTTTTTAATAATTGAATTGTTTTGCAAAACTTTATTAAAATAGTAGATATTGAAAACCACTGAATTGAGGAAATTTTTTGAAAATAATTGAAATTTTGACAAGAATTTTATTAAAAATTTTTAAAAATAATTGAAATTTTGCCAAGAATTTTATTAAAATTTTTGAATTTCTAAAAAGAATTTTATTATTTATACCTAAAGATAATTAAAATTTTTGAACATTTTTGAATTTTTGCTGAGAATTTTATTAGATACTTTTGAAAATAATTGAATTTCTGCAATCGTTTGTAAGTTTTTCAAAATTCAATTTTTTTAGTGTTTTCAACTAAAATTCTTCTTTAAATTCATTATTTTTAATAAAATTTGAATCGAATTTCTAGAAAAATGATATTATTCTTAAAAATTGTATTAAAATTCGTCAAAAGAATTTAATATTTATACCTTTTTTTAATAAAATTCAATTTTTTGAGAAACATTCAATTATTTATTTTTGTATTTGAATAATTGAATTCTCGTAGAATTTTCGAATAAAGATTTATTTAAAAACTAATGTTAGTTAAAATTTTAGACAAAGTATAGAAATTACCACAAATTTTAATACAAAACCTTTTTATTAAAAAATGTAACTAATTTTAGAAGAATTTGAATTATTAAACATTTTTCAAAAATTTAAGTTCTTAAAAATTTCTAATAAAATTTTTGAGAAATAATATTTTATATGATAGTTCTTCAAGAATTAAGTATTAGTTGAAAAGAAATTATTGTCAGAAGTATAAAAAAATTTAAGGTTTTGTGTTAGAATTTGTGGTAATTTCTATAGTTTATAGACACAAAAATTCAGAATTTTCTTATGAATTCTAGAAATTGAATATTTTTTCAATCCAAAAAAACCCAATGTTTTTAGAAAACAACAATTTTCCAGGATTCCGATCAAAATCCCCTGACTTTTCCATGTTTTCCAAGTTGCGTGTCAACCCTGAGAAATATTCTCTAGAATTATTATTATTTAATTATTATACTTAAATATTATTGTACTCAATTATTTTATTTAATTACAAATAACAAAAATTCGAAAAAATGTACACCGGTAATTCGAAGCACTAAAAAAGCCAACAATGAAATTAATATCTGAACAGATATGGATTACTTACGAGTAGGTTTCTGGGGATTGGTAGTTTCGCTGACTTTCTTGTCTCAGTTCCTGCATCTGATTTCCCTGGAGCAAAAAATGAATTAACCTTTATATTTTTTTCCCTTCTTTTCTGTGTATATTTTTTTAATATATTTTTTTAATATATTTTTTTAATATTTTATTTTTTATTTTTAATCAAAAAGAAAACGAAAGGAAAATCATTGCCTTTATATACAGCTCACTCTTGGAACTTGATTAATAAGTTGAGTTATAACTAAGAAAAACGAAGAATTTTTAAGAGCGGAAAACATTCAACATGTTTGAAAGTGCATCGAGGTGCATCGAAGCGAACTTTTTCGTTAATGAAAATCGTGGCGGAAAATAAAATTATATCTCCTTGGAATTAAATATAAACTAATTTCAATTTTTCACGATTCTACGAGCCGAAACATGTATCTATATGAAAACACACTGTATGGAAGTAAATTAAAAACTACTCCGAATATATAATAATTGTTCGTGATTTACATTTATTTATTAGTTTCTTCACATTCGTATAAATATCTAATTAAAAAGTAACGTTACTATTTTTATCGCTGAAATGACGGTTAATTTAATTTTTTTTTCTTCTTTAATGATTATAATTGTCACACTGAATTATTTCTTTGTCTCGAAATAGTTTTATCGCCGGAGTGTTCTTAATTTTCGAAATAAATAAATAATTAGGTACTTGCTTAATAATATGGTATTTCAAATATAAAGAATTTAAATTATTTTTTAAATATTAATATTTTTTTTCATCTTTTTACCTTAATTTATTTTTATTTACTCGCTATTAGGAAAACTTAAACGGAAAATTTTAATTTTTCCTGAAATTTTGAGATTTATTTTTCCTGAACAAAAAGTAGGAAAATAAATACAAGAACAAAAGTAAATAAAAATAATGTAAAAAATACTTGTGATAATAATGAATTGAGGAGAAGAACATTCAAAGTCGTATGATGAATTTCGAAGTTTGTTAGTCGGTTCTTCGTTTCTTAAGAAGGGAAGCAACTGGAATAATAACACAACATTTTGCTTGCAAACCCCACTGAACTTTCTGCGGCACGCTTCTTGCATACCGAGAAGGTGTATGTATATATTTTCTTCTTGTGTATTCCCAAGATTTTGATTTAAAAATAGCAATTCTTTAAAAGAGCGATAGAGAAAAAAATTTGATTTCTTATAAAAAGGGAAATTTTTTATTCTTAACTACCCAGTATTTGGAAACTTTGGAAAATTTAAATATTTGTTTTTCAAAAATAAAAAATTTATTCGTTTGTAATTTTATAATTTTATTATTATGAATAACAAATCTTATTATTCAATTTACAAAATTTTTCTACTTTTAAATATTAACTTCAATCTTTGAATAATTTCAGATTGAAAATTAAATAAAATTGACAATAAATAAAGTGATAAGTATTTTAGTAAAATTAATTTCTCTAAAATTTTGACAATAAGAGGATTTTTAATTTTTTACTGGTCAGGAAAAGAAGTACCTAATGTAAGAAAATATTATCCAAAGTATTACAAAAATAATTATGGAAAATTTTAAATAGTCTATAAATTATTTTTCTCAAATTAAAAAAATCCATAAGTAGAGTTACAGTTTATTTATTATTTTTGTATTTTAATAATTGAATTGTCGTATAATTTTTTTATAAGAATTGATTTAAAAAAAAATTTACGTTGAAATTTTAGAAAACATTTCAACAATTCAAGAATTTGCAGTTCTAAATTTTAGAAATAATTAAATTTCAAAAGGTTTTGCATTAAAAGTATTTTGAAATTTTAATTCCTGATGGACAAATAAATAAACTATAAGTATTCAAGTATTTTTTAAACAAAATTAATGAAATTTGAAAAATTTTATTTAGAAATTCTGAAAAATGAGTTTTTAAAAAAAATCATAATTAAAGTTTTTTAAAAATAGTTAAATTACCGAAATAATTTTTAAAAAATTGGAAAAATAGGAAATTCTCTCAAATTTTATTAAAATAAATTTTATATTTCAAAGAATTTTAATTTCTCACTTTAAAAAATTATTTTTAAACATTTATTGTATTTTTTGAAGAATTGTAACTTTAAATTTGAAAGATAATTAAATTTTACAAAAAGCTTTTTATTTAAATTATTAAATTATCGTTGAATTCTAACAAGAATTGATTTAAAAAAAGAACTATGTTAAAATTTTGAAAAAGAAATTAAATATTAGAAGCGTTATAACAGAAATTTAAAAAGATTTTTAAATTTATTGTTCGAAAATTTTAATTGCTGTAAAAGTACCTATAATAATATTTAAATGTTTATTTAAAAAAATTAAAAATATATTTTTGTCGTTTAAAAGTTATTAAATTTGTGAATAATTAATTTAGAAATTCTAAAAAATATTTGACTTTTAAAAAAATACGATTTTAATTTTTAGAAATAATTAAAATTCAAAAAATTTCATATTGGAAATTATTGGAAATTTCAATTACAATAAATAACAATAAGTTTTTAAATATTTTTTTTTTTTATAAAAATTATTGAACTTTTGAATAGTTTAATGTTGAAATTCTAGAAAAATTAGGTTTTTGAAAAATTGTAAATAAAATCTTCTTGAAGATAAATGAATTTCCGAAAATAATTCTAAAAATTGAAAATTGTTTCTAATAAACAATTTTACAGGAATTGCTCGAAAAGAGTAATTATTCTTAAAAATTACCTTCAATTCCTCGAAAAAATCAATTATTTTCAAAAATGTTTTTTAATTCTTTGGAAGAATTCAATTATTTACAAAAATATTAGAATTTTTCACAAAAATTCAATTATTTTCAAATTGTTTAATAAAATTGTTCGAAAGAAATTAATTTTTTTTAAATATAATTTTAATTAATTTTTTTTTTAAATAATTGAATTATTCTTTTAGATTTTAATATAATTCTTGCCAAGAATTCAAGTATTTACATAAATAATTCTGCGAAAGAATTCAATTATTAAAAATAAATGACAAAATTATGCCCGAAAATTCAATTACTTTGAGGCATTTTAGTAAAATTCATTGCAAAATTTAATTATTTTCATAAATAACAATAATCATCACAAGAATTCAATTATTTTTAAAAGTAATGAATTTTTTCATAGAACTATTTTTTTCAATTCTCTGAATATATTTGAATTCTTTCGAGAAAATTCATTAAAAAATGAAAAATAATTGAATTGGTTCGAAGAAATTTATAAAAAATTGGTAAGTAATGAAAATTCCTGTGAAACTTTTATTAAAATTTTGTTTAAATAATTGAATTCTTTTGGATAATTATATTAAAATAGTAGATATTAAAAATATTTGAAGTGAGGAAAATTTTTAAAAATAATTGAAATTTTGTCAAGAAAGAAAGAAATTGCAATTGTAATTTTTAGAAATAATTAAAATTCAACAAATTTTCTTTTGGAAATTATTTGAAATTTCAATTACAATAAATAACAATAAGTTTAAAAATTTTTTTTCTTTTTGAGAAAAATTATTGAACTTTTAAATAATTTAATGTTGAAATTCTAGAAAAGTTAGGTTTTTGAAAAATTGCAAATAAAATCTTTTTGAAGATAATTGAATTTCCGAAAATAATTCTAAAAATTGAAACAATTAAAAGTTTTGTCAAATTTTGTCATTGAAATAAATTTTATGTTTGAAAGAATTTTATTTAATTTTTTTAAAAATTTTGTTGTAAATTGTAATATAATCGTATTTTTGAAGAATTATATTTGGAAAAATTAGTTATTGTTTAAAAATAAACAATAGTTTATTTTCTGAAAAATAGGTAGTACTTATTTCAAAAAGTCATCTATATTTTTAATTTTATTATTTTACACTATGTTTTATCATTTTTCATCCATAATTCAATGCCATTCTGCTATTTTTATTGCATTAGAAAATAATGTAAAAACTAAATTACAAAATGCAAAATTCAAATAAATTGGAAAAAGAAAGAATCCAATTGCATTAACATGATAACAAGTTATGTAAAACTTAATAAAAAAAAAAAGAAGAGGAATTATTTCAAACTCATTGTCTTCCCCTTGTTAAACTTGTTTCTAATTATTTTTCAAATCATTTTCTTTCGCCTTGTTAAAGAAGACTGGTTTTTTAATTATTTGTGTGTACTATTATAAAAGGGTCGTGTTTTACACCACAAGAATCTTGTACGCTTGAATTATGCGGGAGGAACGTGTTCTCGTCCCTTTTTTTATAATTTTTATCTTCTCGTTTTATGTATTTTTTCTCTTCTCTCTTTCTTTTTTTTTGCTTCTCGTTGCGTGCAAAGTCTCTGTCAGTTTTCTTTTTACACAACGATGCGTCAAGGGAAGAATAGAAGTTTTTCTTTCCGATCGTTGAGTATAATAGAGCGTGGAGAATCGCTAACTCATCTAACGGTTACGATTCGAGATCAATATTCATGTCTATTTTCTGAATCTCATTGAACTACTACTACCAACAACACCACCACCACCGCCTTAAAAAAAAGAGGAATTGAAGAAAAAAAAAATTATTCGCTGTCTATTTATATGAAAAAAAATTAGGATAACAATAAAATTCAATTTTCCTTGAGGGAATTTTTATATGTAGTACTCTCTCTTTCTCTCTTAATAGAGAGAGAGAGAGAGAGAGAGAGAGAGAGAGAAAATTAATTTCATACTCGTTTCTTTGTGTGACAGTTTTTATGTAAAAAATAGGAAATTCCATTTTTTTTCTGTTTAGTATATAATATAATCTATCATCTATAATTATAGGTATAGATAAAGAGGTAACTATGGTATACATATGATCTAGAAGAAATTTCTCAATTTGAAAAGTGAAAGCTTGGGAATTTTCAATGTGTAAACGCGCTATATTGTTCAGTCCTTCATAACTTCCTTTTATGAAGTGATACATTTTATTCAGAATCCAATAACAAAAAAAAAAAGAGAAAAAAAAATTGGGTCGGTTGTTTGTATTTTACGATTTTCCCTGCATGTCACAAGTTTATCAGTAAATAGTCATCTTGAAATTATTCTAATTAACA